AAGACCTCATTATTGTATAACTAAGCAGCAGTTGGAGTATTTTATTCATTTTGGATTCAGAGCTCCCGAAATGGCTTCCATGCTTGGTGTCAGCGAGGCAACTTTGCGGAGGAGACTTAGAGATTGCGAATTGTCTACTGCTCAGCGTTTTACTCGTCTATCCGATGAGGAACTTGACAATATAGTGAAAGACATAAAAATTGAGTTCCACAACAGTGGTTACAGAATGATAATTGGACTGTTGCGGGCAAAAGGGTTGCATATCCCACAGCGTCGTGTAATAGAGTGTTTAAGGCGAGTTGACATTGAGGGAGTAATTGCAAGAACACTACAACTCGGAATCATTTTTCGACGAAAGTACCATGTGTATGGACCCAATGCATTGTGGCATATTGACACAAATCATAAGTTAATAAGGTGAATATTTGTATTAAAATCAACAAAAAATCATTGCTGTTGCCTTTGGTCTAATTTTACAACTGTAATATGTTCTCGTTACTGTTGTTAATTTGTTGTTAATCTAATGTATTTCACTGTTTTTTACAGGTGGAGATTGGTCATTCATGGTGGAATTGATGGTTTTTCTCGCCTTATCGTGTTTCTTAACTGCCACAATAACAACTGTGCAAGCACTGCTTTAGAAGAATTCCAATCGGCTGTTGGCAAATTTGGACTTCCAAGTCGTGTAAGGACAGACCAGGGGGGTGAAAATGTTGATATTGCAAGATTCATGCTGAGTCATCCTGAACAAGGTGAAAACAGAGGAAGTCACATAACTGGCCGCAGCGTTCATAATCAACGCATAGAACGATTGTGGAGAGATGTGTATTATGCTTGTAGTTTCAAGTATCATTCACTCTTTACCCACATGGAGAATGTTGGCATCTTAGACGTAACAAATGAAATCCATATGTTTTGTCTTCATTACATATATATTCCCATCATCAGACAACATCTTGTACATTTTGTTCAAGGATATAACAATCATGGTCTGTCAACTGAAGGGAATAAGACTCCTACACAACTATGGATTCAAGGAATGTTCAACATGGCAAACAGTAGTCACAGAACAGCCAGAGAGATGTGGGAACCAAGAACTGAAGTATGTACATGTATTTATTTGTTCAAAAAATACTTTACTTTACTTATATTAATTTCATCACTTGGTATTATTCTTTAAGAATGACATGATCTTATACGGAGTTGACTGGTCTGGCCCTACACCTTCACGAGAATGGGGAAGTATTGAGATGGAGTCAGTAGCTGTAACTGTTCCAGAAATTGTTCTACCCTTGTCGGATGACACTCTTGGGCAGGTATTGGAACATCTTCAAGTGATTAACCCTTTAGGGGAAACTGCAAACTTTGGAATAGATTTATATGAACAAGCAATTGAGGTAATTTCTAGATTAACTGCTTAAGTGAATATTTACTTCTGTTAACTCAAGCAACAACTGATATATTTGTAACTACTCGATTTGGAACAGAGAGTGACAGATAAAAATCCAGACAATCTTACTTATCAAGGGCAAATTATTGGACATTCATGTTTTTAAGGAAATTATTACCAACCAAATTTGACTTCCCCAAAACTAAAGATCATTTAGGCCTGTTTCAAACGATGCGTTTCTCATGTGCAGAACGCATTTGATTAGAAACAATAGATGGGGCATTTCGTCTGATTATCTATTGTTTCTAATGCATTTGGCACATGAGAAGCAAGACGTTTGAAACAGACTTTATTCTTGTGCTGGGTTGTTACAAATATACACAAAATGTATTTTCAAACAAATGGCATCTCAACATTTTTTGGTATGAAGTGGTGAAGGGTGAGCATTATCTAATGCTATGCATGGTATAAGTTAAATTTACCAAAATTTTAGTTTAACCATCCAATAGACCAATTAAGAATTACAAATACACATTCAAGTCAGGATAAAATGTTTCTATCTTATTATAGAACACTATTTGCCTAAAAATAAATTATTTAAATGTGCAAAATGGTTGTTGAAAGTTGAAAGCAGTTTTTGCACGGTGTTATTGGTGTCTTGATCCAAATTAGAGAAATAGTCCCGTAAGTGCACCTGTTTCAGTTGCTTTTTTACACTGAGAGCAAAATATGCAGGTTGTATGACTAGTTTTAAAACTTAAATGGACAATTGAACTCAATAACACCCTTTATTTTCATGTAAAAAAAACAGGAATTGTACACACATACAGTTCAATCTACAGAAACGTCACAATATTATAGTGCTATAATAACTTCAACTATTATATGTAATATATTCACCTAAAACATGCATGCCAGTATATAAGTTTGTTTCATGCCATCTGAACTTGAATATAGACATTAAGGTATAGTTAGTACCAATGCCATCCCATGCTAGTGTAACTATATGTGCATATTAATTAAGTAATAAAACTTCACATTGTTATAGGTGTGTTCTTACTGATCTTCTGTATAGTCATCCAAAAACAATTGTCACTAGTAATCCAAAAACAATTTAAACTACCGGTACTAAAAACAATGATAATAAACAACTTCAACTCAAGCGAAGAAGGTACAGTATGTTTGTACTCTAAAATCTACCATATCCTGTTGCCTGTGCCGACAGAGTTGCATCCATTTTCTTCTTAAAATCTGCGAAGCTACTGGCATTCACATGTAGAGAGAGAATGCCCAAACACGATTCGGGATCTGGCAGCGATTTTTCTTTCCTGTTGAACTTCACGTATACAGGTTGCGTTGGGTATTGTGGGCTTCCAAGGACAAATTGTAAAAACATTCCAGTGGTGGGAACATAATCATCTTCAGCGTGAACTTTGAAAAAAATGAGAGAATTATTCTCTAACTTTATATTTACACAAAATAAAATTTCAAATTCATTTCGAATTCCTTAATATGTTAGGGGTGCACCGGAACCAGTTTTTTAAGTTCCGGCTGGAACTGGATCCGACCGGAACTGGAAAAAAGTTCCGGCCGGAACCAATTTATTAAGCCATATATAGTCGTATGTTACTTTGTCCGCTGCCAGACAGGCAGACACTTCAAGTCATCAAGGAGAGAGCTCTCAAATGTTAGAATAAAAAGATTGACAAACGTTAAACGTCATAATGAAGTGTTAAAAGTGTACATTTCCCGTGTGTAGTCCAAATTTCTTCCTACTGCGACTCTCTGTTAGACACAAAAACGTTTGATACTCTATCTCTCTGAAAACGACAGAGTTCCGGTTCCGGTCATGCTTTCTTTATTAGTTCCAGCCGGAACCGGAACTGTAAAAAAATGGTGCACCCCTATAATATGTAGAAGCAAATATCATGTACCTGTTTACTAATGTTTCCGTTCACCATACTACTATGCTAATTGTTTCATAAAAAACTGTTTCTATACTATAAGTAATAATTTACTCATTAATTAATATGTACAGTAAATGTACCTGGTAGGCATCTAACATATTCCTTGCACCATTCAAATGCTAATTTCTCCTGTTCGTTCAAATCGTCTTGTTTAACACTGGAGTGTAACACCAATTTCTTCTCTAAACTTTCAGCTAACACGATAACTTGACTTGATTGTGGAAAAACATGTGATGAACCCCATAATTCTTTATTTCTATTGAGGAACATAGCCAATTGTATTGTTTCCATTCCGCGTCTGATGTCATCCATTTCTAGTTTTCTAACGATGAGGGTATGGTGAAGCATTGCGGATTCAAGTGCTGCATCCCTGTTTGTGCTTGTCAATAACTTATTCACAAATCCAGCTGCAGTAAGCATTGTAACAATAGCCTCATTTTCATTGAGTTCCTTGAACATCTCATCTGTGTTAGCATCTCTTACCTAATCAACATGTTAACAGTTTTTTGTAAATATACTGTTGTGAATAGCTGAAATCGCAGTCAAATCACTCAATTAAAGTAGTGGTCTGGGGCTATTATATTCTTAACTAAAATTTGTTACCTGCCATAAACCATGTTTTGTGCATCCCATTATCTAAAGCATAAATATATGTATACTAGTGTAACATACAATACCTTTTCAAGCATTTGCCGTATTTCATAGTCTGGAACATCTTCTATGCTAAGAAATGGAATTGCTTCATAAATGGAACCTGTTATAATGTATGCTACTGCTGCTTTTGATAGACCAACAAGTGGGTATCCATCATGTAGAAATGAGTGACTGATCATGACTCCTGTGTAGTAAAATAGCATGGAATCCTGTGACTCAACACAGTGAATTGGCATGAGATGATCGTTTTGCCCTTCAAACAATTGAATCGAGGAATCCCCTGCTGTTAGAAGGCTCATTGACAAATGGAAGTATTCCCTCGTAGGACCTGATGCATCTGTGCCATCTTCCCCTTTGAATTCAACATCTGGGATTGCCCTTATATTGAGTCCCTTCTTGTGTAATTTAAAAATGTCTCGCAGAGGTCTGGGACTATGACGATCAATCACAATGGACTGCATTGAATTACTATTTAACCAGCGATGTTTGAAACTACTGAGAGTGACAGGTAATGGGGAGTCAAATACCGAGGCCATAAGATCATCCTCATCATCATCTAAATCCACAATAGCAATAGTCAGCCATAATGCCAAGATTTGTTTTACACTAATTTAATAATTACTTCATTTTGATCAATGAAGAATTACTTCATTTGATCAATGAAGTACAACTGTATTTTCAAATGGAAATTTCATTTGAACGCAATTGAAATGACATAATTTAAATTATTAATTTGTGAAGTGTATTTTTTATACATAAACAGTACACAAATGTGAAATAGCTCAAGCTTTGAGCTTAAATACAAAGGGTAGTAGGCCTAGAAATGATATTTGTCTTCCTGGCAACAAAATCCCAAAATAAAATTCATTCGTAACTTTCTGCATTAGGTAGTAAGGTTTAGGTACTGTATTAGTGCCGCACATGGTGGTAAAATTTAATCTTCACACAAGACATTTTTGATTTCAAAAATGGATTTGGAATTTATAAACAATGAAATTATATGGCATTTTAACATTGCATATAAGATGAAACAAATCCTGCAAAATGTAAGAAAAGGAAGTGATGTGTTAATATTTCCGGGCAGCACTGTTATTAACCATGCATGCAGGCCTGCATGTTGACTGCTGTGGTCTTCCCCGGATTGGCAAGGGTGTGCAGTTTCATTTAATATGGCAATATGGCTAGTTTGCTCAAGGTCAATGTTCTTGTTATATTTTTCCAGTATCATCTACAAGAGTTCAAGCATTTTGTATTCTTCCCTACTTATGTGCAGCCAGACATTATGAGTCTATTATGACATTATAATTATGAGTTATTATAGTTCTTAGTTACGTTTACTTCCACAAATAGCTTTCGCTAATAGTAATACCAGAAACGTCCAAAAAAGATCATGATAGTCTTCAAAAACGTTTTAGATGAACAAGTACATGAATTCATAAGAGGTATATTGCCCTGTTTACTGCAGTTCTCAATGTTGCCATGCTTGGGGCTTGCACTACTTCAGATGGTAACATATTCCAATTGAAATAATAGTTTTTCTGTGCCTACCTAAAAGAGCTGTGACTGTTCCCTCCACTGAGCCTATTTCAGAAAATTTCCTTTGCACTTCTCTGTAGCTCTTATCAGGAAACATGTCTAGTATAGATGCCAACTTCTGTGAATCATCTGGATTCTGTAATTCATATATTTCAATAACGACTTAAAAAAATAAAATAAAATAATTTTATCACTGTTATATGTATGTATATGTATATGTATATATGTATATGTATATGTATATCTATATATATATATATATGTATACGTATACGTATACGTATATATATATATATATATATATATATAACAACTCGTTAATAATTCATGAGGAAAAGACGAAGGAAACAACATTTCTTTTTAAAATTACACCAATGAACTCATCAGATGGGTCGTTTTTTAGCCATTTAAAACACTTGCAGTCAGTGTGTCATCAGATATTACAGTGCGTCTACTGTAAGTGGGGCCACTTACACAACACTAACCAATCACATTGCAGAACAAAAATAGAAAATCACTGAATGACGCATTCGCCAATCAGCATGCACTACGCCAAAAACAATGTCGATTTCATAAGAGTAAAATGTCATTTGAAAAAGTCAACGAATATTATCGTAAACTGTAATAGTTATACACCGCATCATGCTTCCAGTCCTTCCATATCTAAACCTCGCTATCAACAATAGCGGTGGAATATACGTGAGAGGACGAAGATTGCCACCACTTTTTCGTGAGAGAGCTTTGGATTTGAATCATCAGAATTATTCGCAACGGCAAATTGCCCGGTCAATGAGAAAAAGTCGGCACTTTGTCCAGAATGTTCTTCACGGCTACGATTGCACAAACTCTTACATTCCACCTCCAAAGTCAGCTTACCCACGCTATAAAATTATGCCCGATGTCATCGACTACATTGAAACGGAAAAACTAATGAAACCAAGTATATATCTGACTGAGTTGCGTGACAATTTGGTCCTCGATGGTGTGGTTAACGTTGAACATGTCCCGAGTAGAGCAGCAATATCAAAATGCATTAGATCAGATCTGTTGATGTCTTACAAAAAGCTAAGTGTTACGCCATTGGAATCGACAACGGCAAATAATGTTGCTTTGACAGATGCTTACCTGGAAGAAGTAAGTGACCTCAATCCAGCCACGCTTCACTTCTTTGATGAAAGTAGTGTAATAAAGACGACGGGGAATCGAAAATTTGGTTGTAATTATATCGGAAAACCGGCTTTTGAGTTCCAAAGATATGCATCTAATGCCACCTACACAATAAATCTGATGCATTCAATGCAAGGTGTAGGCTATATGAACGTCCTTGAGGGACCCTCGAATGGAAATTCAATGTTACTGTTTTTTGAAGAGGCAGTCGAAATACAAAAAAGGGATGGATCTCCTGTTTTGGAAAGGGGTGATACAGTTATCATGGACAACTGTGGTTTTCACCATGGTAACTTTGTCGAACCAATGTTGACCGAAATGTTGGCCGAGTACGGCGTTCGTCTAATCTTCCAACCTCCATATTCACCTCATTTGAATACTTGTGAGTTGTGTTTTCACCAAATAAAATGTTCCTTGAGGCGCAATCAACTAGACGCCGAATATTTCACTGAAATTGCAATATACAATGCATGTCTTGAAATATCAGCTGAAAACTCTGCAGCATATTTTAGGCACTGTGGATATTTGTTGTAATACTATTAAATATAGGCAATATAGACAACATTGTTCAATGTTTGTATGACAAGGGCCAATGGAGGTGCATTTCACTACAAAAATTTTTTACTGTAAAATGCCCATATTTTTCCAAAATTTTGGAAATTTTCCTTGAACTTTTGAATATTGATTTTTGGATTGAAATGCTCCTCAGATCCAATTCATTACTATTCTGTTATGTGTATGAACGTTCAATATATCATAATAAATTGTAATATGTTCATTCATTTATTTGACATTTTGTATAAGGAGGATTCGTAATGATTATTGTAGTTATAGTCCATATGTACTGTTCAGTTTATCAATATGAAAATTATAATTATCCCTATTACCCCACAAATTAGAAGTGATAATAAAGCTATATGACGGTATTCGGATCAAGTGAGAAATACACTTTATATGTCATTTAATACATTTATTTATACATGATTATAGCAAATTGCAACAAAGTCCTTCAACTTTTCATACATCAATCATCGTCTTGAGAAATGAAGCCTTCAGGGATGAAATCCAGCGATAATCGCAACCGGATGCCCACCAAACCTGCACGTTCTTTTTCGCATAAAATAATGTATCGACAAGGTATGACAACTCCACCTCCTCTATTCCATATAAAAGGCCAAGGTCTTCTGCTTGGAGTGGGATGTCCTGTGATCTCACTAAGGGATCAAGTCATAAATAAAAGACATATAATATATAGGTATAATATAGCACAGCGATTCCCAACGTATCAGTTGAGTTTGAAATGGTACTACAATAAGTTTTGGCGTCGCGTGAGCCGTGTTGTAAAGGCGGTTTATATACACTATTTTGTAAAGGTCATCTATATAAGTAGCGAGTCGTCGCTGATATATTATTTCAATAACCGCGTAAAAATAAAGTAATTTATTGAGTATTATATAGCATCATGAAAAGTAAGCAAAAAATAAATAATTTTGTTTTTTATACGCAAAAACCGTGCATAAAGCTACATTCGGTTATAACATCACAGCTGTTCACAAACGTCTTATAATTCAAACTATTTACATGTAAAATACATGTGCCATGTGGTTGTATTTATATGTTCCATACTGAATAGTTTTGAATAAGCAAGCGCAACAAGAATATTATAGCGACATAAAGCGACATATAAATATAAATAAAATGACCGACATAATATAAATAAAATAACAAGATGGCTTACATGTAAATATAAAGTTTTGTATTCGCTAAGCTACACATGGCGAAGTAATTTTTCTACACTGACTACAGTCTATACAGTAATATTTTATTTTGACTCAATACTTTCTATCAATATATAGGTTATAAATGGGCTTGACAAAATAGTGCCACCTCCTTGACAAATACTGTATAAATATGCCTCGTGTTACACCAAAACGTTTCGTAGAAACATGCCGAAATTAGTCAGATTATAAAGTCACTCTTCATATTGGCCTTTCTGTAATACTGTTACCCC